TTGCAGGCGGGAGTGCCTGCCGGAGGCAGCGGCGCGCTCATCAAGGGGCTGGGAGCAGCGGCCGGAGCGGCGGGGCCCGCCCCGAGTTGCCGAGAGAAGTTTCCGTCGTGCCGCTACGTCCAGAGACGGTCCATGGAGGTGCGCGGTCCCCGCGCCGGCGGGCGGGCGGGCGGCTAGTGCATGCGCCTAATTAGCGCGGGGATCACATCAACAGCTTCCTCTGAAGCCTGGTAAATGGCTTGATGATTGGTCGCTATTACTCGCCTCGAGGTGGAAGGGGGAGACTCTTTAAAGTGCGTCAGAGGGGAGGCGAGCGGGGCGCGGGGATCCTGGAGGGCTGGATCCCGGAGCGGATCCCCTCCGCCGGCTGCGCCCCAAGGTAGGCAGCAGGGCAGGGCTTTTCAGGAGGGATTGGGGAGGGATCCCCGCCGGCTCAAGTTGCGCGGGTGGATTCAGCGGCTCCGGGCCAGATCCCGGACACTCGCTTCCCCGGCTGCGGCGTCTCCTCCGCTCCCCGGGAGCCCCGGGCAGGGCCGCCCGCAGGTACTCGCTGCCCCGGGGCAGTGGGGAGCCGGGATTGCTGCAGCCTCCCTGCCCTGCCCTTCACCCCGGGCCCCGGGAAGCTGCGGGCATCCCGCGGAGCCGGGGCAGAGCCACGCAGCTCCAGCCCTGTCCGGATTTTCGCGATTACCTTTGGGTTCGGGGATGATTTTAGGGCCGAGTTCTCCCGCTCCCATTGGCTGGCGCGTCGGCATAATGATGATCACAGCCTAATGCTGTTGGCTGCTGCTTACTGTTTATTGGTAGTTAAGGATCTATTATCTATTCATCAGCCTCCTATTTTTGCCAATTACATTCTTCTAAAGTGAAGTACCAGCAGGTATTTTGCACATTTACAATTAATGATAAAAAAAAAAAATCTGGCGCGCTTTAAATCTATTACGCCGCGGTGTCATTTATCTTCAAGATGCAGAATTGCTGATGTCAATGACTGTTGCTGCTGAACTAGGGGGGGGGGGGGGGAAGCCTTGCAACGGGAGTCTGGTATTCCCTGCTTTTATTCTTGTACTTCCTTCCCCCTCTGCTTTTAAATAAAAATATCCATTTTCTCTCTAGCGTTAAAACACCCTGAAGTCGGTACAGAAAGATAGCGAGAAATACACACGCGATTTTCCCCTATTATCTGCCGAGCTAATCCTTCCCCCTCCCTCCACCTTCAGTGTTAGAAAGTTGTCTGGGTCGATCCAGCTGATATTTTCAAGATAACAACAAATAGAAACGGCTGCATTTGTGCACACTGCGTAACGTCTGCACGCATCGATGTAGGATCCGCGGATATCTAATATACGAATATGGACTCGCTGTGCGAATATATTCTCCGTGTATAATGTAATATGCAGGCACTTAAATATTGTGGATGAGTGAATAAGTATTTATGTGAGTGCTTTTTTTTTTTTTATTATTTAGGCAGGGTGCTGATAATAGATACGAGCTAATCCGTGTTGTCTCCGGTATGTAGCGGTCTGGACCTCTATAGTTTTTTTCCTAGGTCACCAGCCGGGGAGTTGCTGGTGGGGAAGCTCCGTAGCGCTGATCTGTGCGTTCACGATTGTGCGAGGAAAGTTGAAGCCAGTTACAGTCTGTAGATACCTGAGCCTCCCTCCCAGGGGCTCCCGCAAAAAGCCCCGCACCCCGGTGCAAGTGTGTCCGGACTTGTTGCCAGAGTGGGGTTTGGCCTCCTGTGGCTGCTGTGCTTGGTGTCCTTTGAATCACGATTTTCTCGTCTTTCCCCCCGTGTTTCTCCTGACAGGAGCGTCTTCCTTGGGAGGCTTTCCCCGTGCTTTATTACGGGCTGGGCCGCGGACATACTGATCCCCGCAATACTATTTTTGTCCCTCTTCCACCGGAGCCGCCCTGGGCCCCCGGGAACGTCCCCTCGCCCCCGGGCTCGCGAGCAGCGGGTGAGGCCGGGTCGGAGCAGCGCGGAGCTCCTGTCCCCGGCTCCGGCTGGCTCCTGCGCGCCCTCCTGGCCCAAGCCCCCGGCCGTCCCCTGGCACCGAGGTCAGGTTGCTCCAGGGACGGCCCGAGGGCTGCGGCTCTTGGCCGGCGTCGCCTGGCCCGAGGTCCCTGCTCGAGCTGGAGCAGCGCAGCTCCGGCCCCTCCGATGCCCCTGCCCGCCCCAGCTCCGGGAGCGATGTCACCCTGGAGGAGCCGGGGTCGGTGCAGGGCTGCGATGCCGCCCTGGAGAGGTCCCTGGAAGCGGCTGCACCGCAGGACCCGGTGTGGCTCCTCCCTGCCGCCGGGCCGATGCGGGGCGGCCG